TTGAAACTATCAGGGAACTGAGGTCACAGGGCAAAAAACTACTCAGAAATATTGAGCGACACAGAAAGCTGTAGGTAGAAACTGGGGCTGAGTATTTGCTTACCTGGGACAGAAATCACCAAATGATTTATAAATAAGAATAAGCTAGAATATTTTAACAATTTCTTAAAACTAAGTATAGGCTAGTGAGAGTGTAAAACCAAGGGGGAATAAACAAAATAAAAAATAAAATAAAACCAAAGTGGGTATCAGACATGCTAGAATTTACTCCCTTTGCAGGCTTTTGCTTGACAAATATCACCAGATACTCACAGGGAAGATCAGACAACTTCCTTGCAGGGGATGGTCTGGGTCCTGGAATCACAACCTCTGCCCAAAGTGCACCCACAGCCTTCTCTCTGAACTCTCCTAAGGATTAAAAGGCTTAATTGAGGAGGTTGTGTCTCATCCAAATCTGTGATGTGAGGGCATGCCCGGACACCCACGGGCACTAGGGGAAGGGAAAATCAGCTATGGACACAAATCCACCCAGACCTTCTACAACCTGTAGGAGCAATATTTTCAAGACGCCAGCCTGAGGGAACTGAAGTCTCTAGGTGACTGCAGCTCTCACAGTCCCCTTGATCGTAGCCAATGAAATACATGTCAGACTTCTGACCTCTGGAAGTGTAACAGGATACACTTCTATTGTTCTAAGCCACTGGGTCGGCAGTAATTTATTATAGCATCAGTAGAAAACAAATACAGCTGCCATTCTAATACTTTCTACGAATCCTTTAGAGAATCATGTTCTATCCACCCTTGTAGGAAAATTTGATCATGTCTTAACGTTTTCAGTTCTTACCTAGAAGATTCATCACTAATACTAATCTTTGTAACATCTTTGTCTGTCTGCAATTCTCTTCCACACCTGTCTATTTTTCTTTCTCACTCGCAACAGTAAAATTCACTTTTTGATCCCAAGATTAAGCTCTGGTTCCAATTTCTATTCTATGTTAACCAGACAGTATGAAGTGTGTCTATTTAAACTCCCCTAGCATATATCATATATACTCTTCAATTCACTTTGTCATAGGTTAATAGAATTGCCATTTTTCCTTCATCTGTATTTGTCTTCTAGATGTAGGGACAGTAGGATTTGTCTGTGATAGAAGTGCAATTCAGTTTGTTGTTTATCTTTTGAATTTATTTTCCTGGATAGATTTTGTTTTTGTAGGTCCATTTCTATCTGAGTTATTTCTGCTTATTTTTTTCTTAAATTTTAACAACAGCTATTTAAGAAAAAAAGCATTGAGATGCATCTCTAATAATAATATACAAAGGAGTCTCAGAAATATCTCATAAGAGAGGCTCTCCCTAAATTCGAGTCATATAAGGAGAATAGATTGCCTTTATTGTGATGATTAGTTCTTCACCTTGCTGATGTGATTAAGAGGTACTCATAAATTCTTGATAAGGAAAAAGAAAGGCCACGGTTGATAAAATAATTTATGGCAATAAAAACAGTATAATCAACATCCAGAGAAAATATGTCAAGATTTAAAAATAGGTCAGATGTTAATCTAATCAACCCATTCCACAGAATCAGCAGAATAGAGTTTTATGTTGGTGAAAATGGGCAGGTTGGTGCCTACAGACAGGAAGAGTGAAAGGGTGACCATGAGACGCTGGAAAGACAATCTCACTATTGATATTAGGCCTCATAACTATGAACTATGGTAACATGAATTTACCAGAGTCACAAAGCAAAGGGCACTTGTTATTTGGATACCTAGTGTCCCAAAAGACTTCATCTTAGGTCTTGAAAGTCATAGCACAAAACATAAAATTGTTCAAGCTTAATCTTACAGCTATAGCTTAGAAGATTGAAGAGGGAGCCTTTGAGAACTTTGGAAATATTGTTAAAATTGCCAAAGTACTAGTTTTTTTATGAAAAACTAAAAACATCTTAAATATTTCCTTATGGTGGGTCAGTATTTATCATCTATCGATCTACCGATCTATCATCATCATCTATCATCTATCCATATCTTTCACTTATCCATCTAAATATAAGAGTTAATGGATTTACCTTGAGAAAGTTTATCATTGTGTATCAACATCAATTACATTCATGAAAATATTAGTATTAAAATGGAAGCAAAGCTGTGAGATTATGGGAAGAGCGCTCTTGATAACAGAAACCTGTGACACCAGAGATTGAGTTAGGTCCCCGTCAGGCTAGACACCAATTTCATGGAAGGTGAGTCTGTGTTTTGGGTTGTTTGTTATCATTAAATAGGTACTGTTTGGGGATCCAGTTTCTTGGTTCATTTATCATCATCATCTCAAGTAGATTATGGCTAATGATGGGTAAATGCGCAGTGGTGATTTGGATTTGTGAGGATGTTTATTTGTCTGTTGAACATGAAGTTTTGTTAATACAGTCATTTTTCAGCCTCCCCCAAGTTGCAGTGATTTATATCCATGTAGATTAAAAAAAGTGGAAATTAATTTCATGCCATCAATTTACTTTTCCACTGAGTAATTTGGGATACAAGATGTTGGTTAAAAATCTAAGAAAAAAATTAACTCCAGCAAAGTAATTTAGCCATTCAGTTGGACTTTATTTTTCCATTATAGAAAGAACTTCTGGGTGTGCACAAATTCTTAATCTTGCATTAAAATAATACAAAAAACCCAGGTATTAAAATTACTTCCAACCCATATATACCTGCAATTATGAAATACATGTCATTTTGTCTTATTTTGTTACTCCTAGCAGTGGATTTCCTTTTAGAAATGATTTTGTCACCAAGTGTGTCTGTAAAGCCCTGTACTATATTTCAGGGTAGATTTTTAAAAATCTTTTAAAAATTATTGATCCAAAATAACAGAATTCTGTTTTTAGTGTGACTCTAATATTTCACTGTACAAAGACATACAAAGGAGCTTTGATATCCATTCTATTCTTCAAATTAGCAATATAAGTCCATCAGGAAACAGAATATTGATCTTATGGTTAGTCTTTCTCTATTCATAATGTTCATTTTCTCTAAAAGCATTGTTTAAATTACTATGTTTTTTTTTCATCTGTGCACTATTTTATCTGTATTATCCAAATATAGAAGAAACTTAACAAAATATACCTGTTAAAGCAAAAAGTATACACCAAACTCATGGAAAAGAGCAGAAACGTAATTATAGATCCTCTCTTATAAGGATGTTGCATATTATTATTTTCACTTTACCAAGGAAGTGTCTCAGGTTCCTGGAGGAAGAAAATTATCAAGGATTAATTAAATAGTTATCAAAACAAATATAGTGCTCTTTCAGATCATGACTGGTGTCTCTATGTGTTCATTGTCATAACATACATAAATATATTAATTCTTGATGTCTTCACTGATATATTGGAGGCTTAAAATGTATTTTAGGACAATTATATGGATGATAGATAGATGATAGATAGATGATAGATGATAGATAGATGATAGATGATAGATAGATGATAGATGATAGATAGATGATAGATAGATATAGATGACAGAGAGATATACAGTGCATAGAGAGATTTTCCAAGAAGAAATAGTTACATTTACAAACTGTTCTCCTCTTACAAATCACTAACTCTAGACTTTGAAGAGAGTTATGAGGTCACCTTTCATAATCTAACTTTCAGTAAAGCAGGTCACACTGCCATCTCCTTTCAGCTACTTGATAAGGATTTGCAGTAATGGAGAAGCCCACTTTCACTTTCACGCCAGGTAGTCTCAGTACCAGTAGGCTGCATGTTATACCGTGTTTCCAATAATTTCATGTCCATTATCTTTCTGGTTACATTTTTCAGGTTGAATTCTAAGTGATTCAAAGGTATTGCTTGGGACTTAGTTACGTGGCCATACATCCCTATTAACTTTTTTAAAATTCTAAATATAAGACCTTTATTAAGGTAACCAGAAATCTCATCACCTTTAAAATCACATCCTAATCCTGCCAATAATTGGAGCTCTCTCTTTGAATCATAAAACTGTCACCAATTATATTCTCTACCCCTATAATTTCACATTGCGTTTTCCTAAGTACTATGCATAGGACGTTCCCCTTTGCTGAGAACCCGCCAAGTCTATAAAAGAGTAAATTACATTCTGTGTTCTCATCACCCCTAGAAGGAGAGTCCCAAACCCTCAGTGTGGAGCTTCTGAAAGTAATTTTGAGACCTGGTGCATAAGAGAACTGGCTGTTGCCATGTTGAAAGGAAGAAAGGTGGAAAACCAGAGGATAAAATGTGAATGTTGGGAAATATTTGTTTCTGGGATTGAACAAAATTTGAGAAGAGAAGGTATCCTTTGGAAACTTAGTGAAGCTAGGGGGAAAAAAAAGACTAAAAGTGTTTCCAGGCAGGAACTCGAAAAGAAGTTAGTATCAATAAACCAGTGGAAGACAGACTCTCCTACTCAAACACAACATGTAGTTTGTTATGGAAACTGTTTTAATGCGGCAACTGATGAAAACAATCTTGAACTAAGAAACCAAATAAACCTCTTTTATTCCTTCTCCCCATACAATTACCTTATATTGTAGGTCTCTGAAAACAAATAATCATGAATATAAAAAAAGAAAACAGAAACACATCAAAGCCAAACCTCATATCCATTCAAAGGTAATGAAATAACATAGACTATGAGAATCAAAACTTGCAGTAAAAAAAAAAAAAAGGAGTGCTCTAACATAGTCTAAATAGAAGAAAAATCTAATATAACATGGCAATATGAATCAACTATAGCACCAAACTACTGCAAATGTGAGGATGGTGACAAAATTCAAAAACTAAAACTTAAAAAAAAAAAAAAGCTACAGCAAAACTGTAAAAAAGACATGGGCAATGATTTTATTATATGCAGAGCCCTTGAAAGGATGTAATGGCAGGAGTTTGAGGCTACATGTCCCAAATCCCTAGACATCTGGTCTGGACTTTTGACGTGGTGGAGCAAATTAATTGTGAGCACAACAATGCCGGCACCCGGCAGATTTGAAAATATGGCCAAAAGAATTGCTGAGAAGGAATTGACAGATAGGAATTGGGATCAAGAAGATGAAGCAGAAGAGGTGGGAACATTCTCAGTGGCCAGTGAGGAAGTCTTGAAGAATAGAGCCATAAAGAAAGCAAAGCGTAGAAATGTTGGATTTGAATCTGATAGTGGAGGGGCCTTTAAAGGTGTTAAAGGTTTGATTGTACCTTCTGGAGGAGGAGGTGGATTTGGTAACGGCGCTGGAGGAAAGCCTTTGGAAGGACTGTCTAATGGAAGCAGCATAACTAGCGCCTCTCCCTTCTCCAGTGCAAGGACAGCCTACTTTTTTTTTGGTGGGGGGAAACACAAATGCTCCTAAATTGGGGGTAACAGAATAGTTACAGATTAATAAAGTAGATACTGCTAGCAAGCACTTGCCTTGGAATCAGAAGATGCAGGGAGTCTCGGCTTCGCCTACTCAGTAGTTGAGCAAGCCACAGCCTTTGGAAGTGATCAGTTTCCTGCCATCTAGCTCATATTACTGTTGCTCATTCATTCAGTCAGTCATGTAACTATTTGTCGCATTCAAGAAGATGCTTTAAGAGCTAGGATACAGACCTCTATGCTCTTTTGTGTCCCATGCCTCAATGACTAGTGTGTGTCAACCAGAGATTCTCTTGATATCCTTGGCTCTGGAATGGAAGTGGATTTTTCTCTTCATACTATATTCCTTTTTTCTTTAGTGCTGTATCATGTTTCATGTTTTTAGTGCCATTTTTTGTCATTATTATTATTAATTATTATTATTTGGTGCCATATGTTTTCACTTTTCCACATATGCAAGTGAGCACACCTTCTTGATTTCCTCTTTGACTTGAGGAAATAGAGCTGAATATTCCTTAAAAATGCCTACTTCCTCCGGCTTCCATTGCCTAACCCTTGTCTTAAATTTTACTTGGAAGACATATTGGTCTGCTTGGGCTGCCATACAACCTACTACAGACTGGGGGTCTTCACCATCTGAAATGTATTTTCTCCCAAGCCTGGAGGCTGGAAGTTCCACCTGAAGGTGAGAGCTGATTGCACTCCTGATAAGTGCTCCCTCCCTGGCATGCAGATGGCACCCCCTTCCCTGGATCTCGTGGGAACCTTCATCTGCACCTATGCTGACACCTCCCACAGATGGGCTTTCTGATGTTTGTTTTAAAAACACCAATCCTGTCAGATAAGAACCCCGCTCTTATGACCTCATTTAACGTTCAATACCTCCTTAGAGGTCTCATCTCTAAAGGTGGTCATGGGGGAGAGAGGGTCGTGATTTTGACACAGGATTTTGAGAGGACACAAACGTGCAGGTCGTAGCAGAAGCTGTGGCAGTACTTGAGGCCACTCATGTCTGTTCTGATAATCTGAAGAGCAGTGGTGCTGGATCATTAGGACACTGGGTAACACAAGTTTAGGGTCTAGGACTTTTGTCTCTATTTGGAGACCCTGTGTTGCGATCTACTCCATTAATCTGGCAGGTTATTTCATTCGTCTGAATTTCATCTTACATATTCCTCTTATCTTCATGCAATTGACAATGTAGGTCAGACTGTTCAGAGTGTATTTTTCAGAAATATTTGTAAATATACTCTATCCATGAATTACTATAAATGTAGACCTTTCTAACATATCTAAATTACGGAAAGGTTTATTTTTTAAATAATTGTTAGTGTAGCTTTGGAAGATCTTGTGTCAAATATTTGACAAATGCATGCCATTTGGAGAACCCTCTTAATATACTTAAAATGCGATATATTTTTAAATGGTGGGAACTATTGAAATTAAACTATCAAAACCTTCCATTAACATCCAAAATTTAAAAACAAAATAATAACAAGAAAATTTAAATTACTACATTTTACCATCTGCTTGCAGTTATGTTTAATTGTGCCAAATCATAATTTGCAAACATAAATTGTTTTTCAAGCTACATAATTAAACTTTAAAACAAAAATTCCTCATTTATAAAATACTAATGCTGACTTAGATGTCAGGAAGAATAGAAGATTATGGAAAAGAATATATCACAAATAGGCAACTTAACAAAGGCTACATAATTTTTTAAATCTAAGAATAAAGCAGTATTTTGTCATCCCAATACCAATTTCTCAACTGGTCTTAATATTCTTAATGAGAATCAAATAATATTTTATGGATATTATTAGATGAAATATAAAAAGATATTTTACTAGTAGTAGTCTAAGGAATTAATCCAAATTGTATGTATTTGCAAACAATAGACTTGTATTAATAGCAAATGCAAATAAACTGCATTGAGTCCAAGAAGATAAATAAAAGATGCATGACCACAGCCTTCACCCCCCTTCTATGTTACTTTTGAATGTTTTAAAGACATTTATTTTGTTCTTTGCCTTTAAATTTTATCCTAGGAAGTTTCTCTCCTAGACTGTATTTATTTGCTTGTTGTTTTGTTTTGTTTTGTTTTAAGTTTGGGTAGTCTAATTCTGGATTACCTTCACAGAAAATGTGTGGTGTGGGAGGAAGAAATCTTTAAGCATAGAGGTCAATGGCTGTGTTGAAGGCAGCTAGAGCATCCCGGCTCACAGTAATATAGCTCTATTTCATGGAACATTTATTATTACAACAACTAAACATGGCACTGCTTCAGCTTGGCAAAAGTGATAGAATGCCTCCTATAAATATTAATAACTTCGCCATCTTCATTTTGTACATGTTTCCCTTGATACCTTGAATTTATCAAAACTATTTTTAGAATTAGAGCCCATAGTGGGAAGCATATATTTAATGTGGATTCTGAATCGAATTACTAAAAAAGCATTTTCAGGTCCCAAAATATTTTATAATAGGTATCTCAAAACACTGCATATCACTCTGAATTTCTACCCTGTTTTCCTTGCCCGACTGTAAATATCCAAACTTAGAATGTTTTCTTACACGTGCATTTGCATTGGTTAGTGCATAATATATGCAAATAGTAATATGTTTATTTTCTTTTATCACTCTCTATTGGTGTAAACAAAAAGTAGGTACTGATTTTGATAAATCCATGCAAATTTACACACAGTCAGTACATATGCCGTTACTATAGTTATAATGAAACTGAAGTCTTTGTGGATTATTTTCCAATGCATTTTGCAGGTCTCATAAGATTCAAAGAATTATCAATTTCTTAAAGTGTTTATTACATCTGAATGTATTTGCTTTTGATTTGCACGCACACACACACACACACACACACACACAAACACACCCCTCACCTGTCATGCATCTAAATATAGATGATAGATATATAGATTACAGGAATAATGGTATTGTTTTATTTCACAGTCTAAAACCAAGAAATAGGACAGGAAAAATACATGTTTAACACAATTAGGTACATTATACATAGCTTATTCCTATTTACAAATTATATGGCATTATAAGCAGGAAATATTTCATGTCAATTTTTATTTTTGAAGTGAATTGAGATTATTTTAATACTTTTTAAAATATTTTATTTATTTATTCATGAGAAACACAGAGAGAGAGAGGCAGAGACTCAGGCAGAGAGAGAAGCAGGCTCCATTCAGGGAGCCCGACCTGGGACTCAATCCCGGGTCTCCAGGATCATGACCTGGGCTGAAGGCTGCACTAAACTGCTGAACCACCAGGGCTGCCCTATTTTAATACATTTATACAAAAAATATGCCTTAAGTGTTTGAAATGACTGTGCATTTTATATTTAATTTATTTATATTGAATTTATCATACATTTAATATATGAAGCATGTTTGCTTGGTAATTCATTTGTTTCACTTAGTATTCATTATTTAATTCTTTTTTTTTTTTTTTTTTTTTTTTACCACTTGCTCTCTCTTTTTAGGAGATTTGCTGGTGAGAGTGGACATTGCTGTTTTGTTCCTTGAATAAACTGGACAGCAACGTGTAAAAGAATGAAAGTGGGACACTCTCTCACACCAAACACAAAAATAAATTCAAAATGAATTAAAGACCTAAATATGAGACCTGAAACCATAAAAATCCTACAGAACAAAGGTAGTGACTTCTTTGACACTGGCTGTAGCAACTTCTTTCTAGATATGTCTCCTGAGGTAAAGGAAAGAAAAGCAAAAATATACTATTGAGACTTCATCATTTAGGATTAATATTCAAAATATATAACTTATAAAACTAACCTCCGCCCAAACCCCAAATTATTCAGTTAAAAAAGAGGAGCTACCCTACATCCAGCAATTGCACTATTAGGTATTCACTCAAAGAATACAAAAATGCAAATTCAAAGGCATATGTGCACCCTGATGTTTATAGTAGTATTATCTACAATAGCCAAATTTTGGAAACAGACCAAGTGTCCATTAACTGACAAATGAATAAGGAAGATGTGGTATATATATATTTCCATTATATATATAATGGAATATTATTCAATATTAGAAAAGAATGAAATCTTGCCCCTTGCAATGACATGGATGGAGCTAGAGAGTATTATGCTAAGCAAAATTAGTCAGAGAAAGACAAATACCATTTCACACATACGGGGAATTTAAAAAACAAAACAAATGAAAAAAAGGGAAAAGGGGGTGAGAGAGGCAAATAAGAAACAAAGTCTTAATTATAGAGAATAAACTGATGGTTACCAGAGGTGAGGTGGGTAAGGGGATGGGTGAAATAGGTGATGGGGAGTAAGGAATGTACTTGTGATGAGTACTCTGTATTGTATGTAAGTGATGAATTAATAAGTTGTATATGTGAAATTAATATTACAATGTATGTTAACTAACTGGAATTTAAATAAAAACTTAAAATAAAAGAATGGAGGCAATAAAGACATATTTATTGTAATGGATTGAGTCCAGGATTTCTACCCATAGTAAGAAAAAAAACAAAGGCTAAAGTGAAAGTTCACAGAAGACTTCAAGTATCCCTAACTGTGACACATAGAAATTAGAATTATTGCTACATATCAGTGACATAAACAATTATAAATGTGTATTTGGGGGCATATTGAGCATGTTGTGCTGGGTGGATATCTTCAATAAAAAACATATTAAATTTGAAAATAAATAAATAAATAAATAAATAATAACAAAAATGGCAGAGTAGGACCTATGAAAAAACTGTTTCATAAAAGCAATGAGAACACTGGCAAAAACTGTCAGAATCAACACTGTTTGTACTCTGGAAATTAAGCCAACATTACAATCATCTAGGGAGTTTTATTCAAGAAGGGAATAAATCTTGTTAAAAAAAAAAAAAAGGTCTTGTGCATTTTCATTTGTCCTATGCCATCCTACATTTCAGCTCCATGGTAGCCTTGAAGCCCAACAGTCTACAATCATAGTGAAGACT